CTCTTTCTCTTTTTGCCAAGTTTATAGGACTTCAGTTTGTACTTGTTTTGAATGTCTTTTAGAAACAAGTCGGAGAGGTGTCTTAAGTTGGAGATGTACCGAAAATTTTTTTAGCAGCAGATACTATTGACATAGCATCTTTGTAATTCTACAGATCCCCTAACAAATGTTAGGAGAAGAACTTACTGTGTTACACCAAATGGAGGAAATAAGCAGCCAAGGACGGCAAAAACTCAGTCTCCAAGTTCTTGGGCTAAAACATCTTGAATGAACTTCAATGTACGTTGGTACAGGAAAGCATCCTTCTTCTTTGGCTTGCAAATATTTAGATGATTAACATCCACTGGAATAAGGTCTCCAATTCCTAACTCTGAGAGATGGAAAAAAAAAAGAAGAAACAAAACTACTAAAGTTCAAAAGATCACTTAGACTAAAAAGCACATCTTGCATTAGCAATTTCTCTTGCAAAAGCAACTTCTTCTGTCTTCAGTTTAACTGTTTTGTCTTAATTATTTTTGATGTGCTAAAAGCATCAGTACAACTGTTTTGGTCAGATAAAGCTATACATTGACATGTATACAAAACCCATGCTGGTAAGCCATTAGGTCACAGTTCTACTATCTCCATTGGGAATACAAAGATGTGCATTTCTCCATACAGACAACTTTGAAGAATCAAAACCTCATTTACCAGCAACTGACTGACAGCAACGTCCTGACAGAAGTTTAAGCATTGACAGGAACAGGGATAGGGTTTAATCCAGGGTTTAATCACCACTAATTGCCCATATTCCTTATAAAATATTTTGATGTGGAGATTAAAAATTGGACTAGAATGAACCTGAAATATACCACAAATCACTACACACATTTCCAGGGAAATGAAAAATTTTCATTGCTTAATTGTAGAATACAAGTATTCCTTTTTCAGCTACTGATTTTGGGGCACACTACAGCATTTATTCTTTCCTGACAGCCATCGCTACTAGTGAGCTTTCCAGTTAGGATGCTGTGACTGACATGTTCCAGCTTATGATCTATTCATTCAACCTCCTAAGAAATCCTCCATTTTGCTTGGAACTCTGTATCTTTAACCATGTAAAACTACACTAGAGGAGGATGAAGGTTTGCCTTCACGTGCCTAAGCATGCATGTAAGAGACAGTGAGCATACTGCTTGTCAGCCTGGGTTTTGAACAAAATGAGCAGCTTGCCACTGAACCATCATGTACCCTCTACAGGCTTTTGAGAGCGCTCATGTTCTGCATTGTATGTAAACTCTAGAAAAGGAGGAATATGCTACAAAATTGCAAGTGCACAGTGCTTATATGTGCACTCTTACCCAGCCCTCTTTATAATTTTATTTTGTTAAACAAAACAAAACAAAAAAAAGAATGCCCAGTTTTTCAGTCCTTGACAATAAAACTGCATCAGCAACATTTTCACAAACAATTGTTTCTTAAGAAGACATATTGAAAAAATACTGCTAAATATTGACTCAGGAAAACAGGGATGTATAGTCCACCTTTTACAGAGCAACTAACCTTGCATTTAACCTAGTGGATTTAGCTGGTGGAAAGCCTGATCTAAAGCCCAGCAAAGCAATGGTTTCTGCTCAAGACCTTACAGGTACCTCAGGCACGCAGAAGAGAGTTTTACTCGGGGAAAACCTGACAATATCAGACTTAAAACAATTCTCCAAGTTGAACACTCATAAACAAAGCAAGAGGAAGAACTGTCTTCCAAGGCAAGAAGATGGAGGGAGCTCTTCAGGACGCAAACTCTATTGCCTGAGTACCTGAGATATGGAAGGTAAAGGACTCTTAACACTGAAAAACAGCTTTGTGACTTTTTTCTTCCATTGGCAGTTTGCTAATTTTCTTTCTCATTTTCTGAAGGAGGAGATTGCTGGAATTTGTGTGAGCTTCTGAAAACACTATTCAGCCTACCCATACAAGGATAAACAACAGTTTCTCATAATTACAAATTAAAGGACTACAACAATGTAACATTATACCACGGTCTACCCTGCTTTTTTCACTAAGGAAGTTACTTGCATTTAGAAAATCAAAACAAACAATTGCTATTCTAAGATAAAAATGTAGCTGCCTCTGATCTCAGCAGGAAGACTGTAGTTTAAACAAAAAACCCCACAACATAACAGATGTGTTTTTCTAGATCCTTCTACCATAGCATTTATAATCCTTCCTCATTATCAATGCTTACATGCACAAAATTAAATAAATTAAATGGCTATTTGACTTACTCGCTGATTCCAGAGGTACAACATGCAGTTTTATCATGCTGCCTATGTGTGTTGGTAAGGTTTCAGCAAAACTCAGCACTGAAAATTTCTTATCTTTGGCAAAAGACATAAAGTCATCATTCAGCTCTTTAAGGGCAGGAGAATCTGAGGAAGAGCAACATAACTTTTGCAGTATTATCTTAAACATAAGAGTATAGCATTCATCTGGCAAGACTGCATTCCTAAAGAGATGTTTTGAAAAAATTAATACTCCAGTAAAAGGAGTAGCATTTTGTTTGTAATACCTTTTTCCAGCTATCATATGCAACAATTGTTTATTTCTGCACAGCATGGAATTTGTTTAGAACGTAAGAGTCTAAAGTCCATCACATGTTGGGTTACTAAATTCCTAAATGGCCCAAACTACTCTTCTATAAACCTGTTCTGACTCCCATTTTTCCCCTCACTTCTGCAATCAACTAAAACAGTTACTCGGAATTATTTACAATAATTCAATACACAACCCAAAAGATAAAAAGGGCGTTTGTTGGTTTTATCCAGCTTATTCTGACAGCATGACAAAAAAAAAAAAGGCATCATGAACAGATTAGCATAGATCCCTGCTGTTAAATGGTAGCAAAGTGAACGTACCCTTGCTGAGTTCTTTAACCTCCACAGACGGAAAGAGAAGATACCTGGCATTTATAGAATATTCAGCCAGCTGGGAACCATGGTGAGGTACGCTATAAAATATGATTCCTTTGGTGTTGTTTACAATTTTATCCATTTCTGGATTCTTGGAAGCATCTACCAGCATCTTTTTGACCAGAAGACCTGACAACAGAAACTGAATTAATGCAGGGATTTAAACCACTGTGAAAATAATGATCATGCTCTATTATCCATGAAACAACTAACCATATTCTTGCCTCAGTTGATTAGTCCTTAGTTTGTCAAGTATGTAAGATTAAGTTGAAAAAAAACCCAAAGCAAACCTGAGGAGGCATTAGAATAAAATGTCAATGAATTATGCAAATCCAATTTTGGTTTGCTTTAAGTGTTGCTAATGACATTTACTAGATGCCTGATCATGAAGAAAATTTTCCCTCTGGATTCTCATTTATATGAATTTCAACTCATTGATTGTGTGTTTTTAAATCAACACAGTAAAAGCAAACAGCAGTTAAAATCCTTTCAAAATGTATGTGCTACTGATTATAGTGCATTAAGAAAGTAGAAATCTGTTTTGCATTTTTAGGTCTTTACAAATTTTTTAGATAAACTATTCTGAATAGTTGCATTTCAGAATGAATTTGGTTAGCAGATTATTCTGAAATATAACAGCAGATAAATACTTTATATCAAACAGGCAATGCACTTACCACCCATGCTATGTGATACCCACACCAGAGGTCTGTCTCCAATCCCAGCAGCTCTGAGCTTGTCAAGAAGCTCATTGCTCCTGTAAGCAATAGACTTCCTGCAAAGAAAAAACACAAGCACAATGAAGCTTAGCATGATGATAGGTTAAAAGGCAATGTTAAAACAAAATGAAGGTGAATTAAGTACATAAAACATTAATTACTTAATTATTGTTGTTATATTGAAAAATGCCAAAAACTGTTGTAAGGTTGGCTTCACAAGGACAACAAGGAATTGAGCTAAATTCAGTTTCTTGATCTTGCTAGAAAGTTTTACTGTAATTTCACTCACTACTCGTTTCCTTTAATTTCAGTTCCACAAATATCTTTATGGGTTTTTAGATAGTTTCATTTACACATTGTAACAAAATTATGCTTTCGTTTTATGAAAGCATCATCAATACATACTGTACTTTATCCCCTGAAACAAGAATATACCTAACGTCTGACAAAAATGTACTTTGCTAAACAATGCTCAAAATGTGAGGCAATGTACGGGAAATAAATAACTAAATGCACAATCAACAAATACAAATCACTGATAATGTCTGTTATACTTTCCAGCAATAATCACCAAATGCTTTGTGCTGGAATAGTAAAACAACACAACAATCTCCACTTTGTAATTGAAGAGACTGAGCCCTGGAAAGGATAAGCCCCAAGCCCCAAGTTAGAGGTTGAAAATGAGTCTGTTGCTACAACCAAAACAAAACCAATGGCAATTCCCAATCTAAGCTTTAAAGTGCAACATCGTTACTGCCTGCAGCCTAACAAGAATCAAACACAGAAGACCCTTGGACAACAGAAACATCAGGATATTGGGGCAACCACTGTGCGAAGTCTAATTCACTTAATCTCTGTTCATTCTCAGCATTCTCACTAGAAATTACTTTTATATCACATATGAAAAGGATACTTAGATGTGTCTTTTCAGCTGAATAATAGGCTTTAGGATAGCTGAGACACATAAAACTTCCCTTTTGAAACACTGAATGAGCCTATACCCTTAGAGCAATCATAAGATTGTGATTCTACTGCTACACCTTTGTTCCTGCTAGTTAAAAATGTCTTGAATATCTTTAATTTTTTTATTAAACATAAAAAATTATAAAATAATCAAATACTATGCTTGGGTGACCATAAGTAGCAGGTAACGTAATTTTCCACTTTGTAATGAAAAAGATGTTATCTTAAAATAAAGAAAGAAATACAAGTTTATCTCTTTTTAAAATTTCTTTTATTATACTTAGTCCAGACAGACACAAGAAAAAAGTTCTCTTGTAAGGGTAACCACCTACATGCTTTTTACTGTCACTGTTCTGCCTAATTTCAAATAGGCATATTAACAACCATGTCTTCCTTATTTTTATCTTGCTTACATGCCAGAAGACATTGTAAGAATTTAGGAAGCTGGCACAAGTATTTATCCACAAGGCTAAAAAGCTCAAGTATACCATGACTGTACCTAATGTTTTTCCAAACTTGATTTTCAAATGCAACAGGAAAAGTTAAATTCACTGTTTCACAGTAGGTGATCCCAAGGATCAGCTTTACTCTCCCTCCTGCCCCCTCTCCAAACTGCAGATGCTTCATTTGTTACCTGTGAGCCTCAACAGGACATTTTGCTTTCCAGTCACTCAAATGGGTGTCATATTCCACAGATATGATTCTAAGGGCAGGACAGTCTGAAGCCAGCCATGTCTAAATTAAAGAAAAACGAAACTAAAAGGAGCTTATAATTGAAGTACTTAAGAAACTCTTGCAAGCAATTTATCAGCAATGGAGCAAAGATGTTACTATGGGGACAATATCATGCAAGATTTCTGCTCTTCAGTTAATACCCAAATACATCTTACACCTAGACTATTATTCTTTTATTACATGTTGGCAATTCTAGCCTGTTCCCCAGCCACAAAGTAGGCAATGGATAGAGATGAATTACTAACTCGTGCATTCCTGACTCCCTCCCCTGGGTGAAACAAGAATTACTATGATTACCAACAGGACTGATCAGCCTAAGATTTACAGTGATACTTTGGTGGTTACAGCAATGTCAGTTGGTTGAAGCAGTAATTACTTATTTACCAATAATATTTAAATAGCAATCTGCAAAAATTGAGGTATTCTGAGACCTATGTAAGAAAGCACACTTATTTTAAAATGTAATTTTATGTATCTTTTCCTCAATAATAACATTCCATTATTAAAAAAAAAAAAGAGAGTATGAGGAAAGCAGCCATTGCCACCTCTTTCACTAGCAGAAGAATGATGGTGAGAGTATTAAATTTAGCAGGGATTTTCCTTTGCAAAAACAACCTGTTCAAAATTTCAGCTTGCTAACAAAAAAACCTATCAGGAACTTGGAAAGTGCTACTTGTATAACAGATTAAGAGTAATTTGATTACAACTGCCAGACAGTGTAATTCCAGATCGTCTGGACAGCTCTCATTAATGAGAAAACAGCAGCTACATGTGAAAATGTTACTGTCTTTTTACCTTTGGCCAGCACTGGCTATAGTCCTCTTCCCCTTCTGAAGCCTTTTTATCCAAACGCCGGTCAACGTCTTGCTGTCGCCAGGTTTTAAATGCTGCTCCCAAAAGACCATGAACAAAAAGGATGTCTGCTCTGATGGGCTGACTAATACAGAAAAATGCAATTTTAAGAGATGCTACATATTCTTTTAGCAAATTAAATTTACACAGAACATTTAACCTAAGGGATGCCAAAATGCTGTTTTTAACACTAGATGTGATTTCTTACCTTATGTACAACAGTTCATGACATTTCATGATATTTCAAAGAGGATACTCAGATCAAGACAAAAAACCCTGGGATCCACCCAGAAGAGAGAGATATAAAGTATGGAAAGTACCCACCTCCCAAAGTTGTATTTTTCTACAGTGAAAAACACCATTCTCTCCACCTACTGTTAATGCAACTTGGTAGTTCCAGCTTTATCACCAAATTAGATCTTCACTGTAACCTGACTAACATCACTAAGTGATATACCACATCGGAGACCGCTTCAGTCCCAGATACACAGTCACTATTAATAGAAGCTGAAGCTGTAAATTTACTGCATCTTAGGCCAACGTGTGCTTGTGCCAACAGAATAATTACAAGGCACTGTATCCCAAGACACCCAGTGCAAACTTTAAATGGTTGCAACACATGAAAAGCAGTAGTTAATCTCATGGCTTGTGTTTGGATTTTTTCATGAAATACAGTAATACTCCTTTCATGGCTATGGACTGCTCCGAGTACTTCTGTTGTTCTCCTACTTGAGAATCTAAATTCAGTCCTCTCAACCCACCAAAGAACAGGAGAAGCAGGTGACATCAATACAGCAGTCCTCTGATGTCAACTATTCCAAAGTTTTCTATCTGAACAGTATAACAAGTAACTCAAAAGTACAGCATGTAAAATATCTCCTCCTGCTTTACCTGCTACGATATTGTGGATGTAAGACATAAACACCATCTGGATACTTTTCTTGCACTGTATCCCTGTCTAGATTAGCCAAAGCTCTGGATGCATGAGAAGACTGAATGACATGTGGGGATTTCATTACTTCAGCAAGTACAGAAACCCAACCTACATTGAAGAAATAAAGTGGCAGGTTAACTAATTAGAAACATCATCCAAACCAAAGAATTCAGAAACATCATCCTTCAAAGTATACTTGCGAAAATAGATGTTAAAACTTAAGAATGGTAACATCAAATCAAATTATTTCAATCCACTCTCTTTACCACAGAAAAGGCAATGCTAGATAAACGGAACCTCCAAAATTAAAAAATCCAGAGAGGTGAGGAGGCAATAGATTTTACTCTTGTTCAGCTAATGATCTGAAGGAGAACCCCTTTTCAGAATAAAAAGAAAGTGTATCAGTAGGTCAGTGCAGTTGTCAAAGAGAGAACAGATCTCTAGTTTCTTTTTGCAGGTAAGATGCAAGAAAGACAGAGAAATGTCCCAGAGAGAAAATGAAGCTTAAAGCATAAGAAAGACCTAGAAAACAACCCACAGGAGTAATGGCAGGTGGAAAAAGTGATGCTTGCTGTGAGAGTACAACCATTTCTAATTTTAAAATCCAGTGTGTGAAAAGTTGTTTAAGGAATTAAAATGTCCCTGCTATTCTAAAAATAGTAAACTATTTATAGCTAAGAAACATAAGAGAATTAATGAAGGAAACCTTTGAATACAATCCTCAATAAAATTTTAAGTCATAGCTACCTTCAAGAAAAAACATATGTTTTATAATACCTTACCTAAGGTGTGAAATACAGTTTCTTAGATATGGATGGGGATGTTCATAGACTACCAAGAAACGCAAAGGAATCTCTTTCATACACATACATATATTTTTCTTTAAAATCTTAATAAATCTTGTTGCTGCTAGCAAGAGTTGTCCATAAATCACAATTATATTAAAGTTGAGTTCATAAATAAAACCTGTGAAGACTCTGAAGACAGATTTTCAAATGGATGCTGATTTGAAAAAGAAGAAACAATTTACTTAATGAGCACTGTTTCAAAATCATGCACAATACATTGCTACTAGTATAGCCAGTAAGTTGCTAATTCAAGATAGTTTGTTCACTGTGGAATTAGGAAAAGTATTGACAGTGATTTTTGTTTAAATGCAACTACCTTTGAAGACTGCCTTTTTTTTTTAAAAGAATTATGTATTTAAATTCCATTTCTAAGCAGAATAGATGTTGACCACTGTGCAAATTCTCCTTAAGAAGAATGCAATCTAAAACCTATTTTCAGTTCCCCAAATACAGTGAAAGACTGATAAGCTAGTCTGATTAAAACTAGCAAGGCCTCTGGTTCTGTATTCTTCTTAAATGAGCCAAGATGAAGGGTCAAAAATAGTGTTCAGAATCCTTCTGTCCCCAGCCACTGCATCACAGCTACTATACAGTGCATCATCACTTTTCTTCCTCTTCCTGTGCCAGCAGTTTTTGCAAAGATAAAGAGCCCTAGAGGTTCTTTCTTCTTATGCATCATCCAGCAACACAAGGGAAATCTTTCAACTCTTGAACAGTAGTATTCAACTGCTCGTCTCCGGAGTCCAGTTCACTGCCTAAAATTCCATTTGTACCGAGACCTCTGCCCCAGGGAGCTGTTGACTCTTCTGATCTCTTCCTCCATACGTATGGTTTTAGCAGTCATCATAAGAATGTAAGAATGGTGCTAGAGCTCAGCCCAAAAGCCTTTGTAGTCCGCTCTCTTTCTCTAAAAGTGAGCAGTAATGGAAGTTGCAGGACAATAAAAGAACAGAACAATAAAAGGGCAAGTGTATAGTGCCGATTCTCTACTGTACCCTCTCAGCTTTCTACAATCAACTTGGCTTCTGTGTGAACAGCTTTGTAGATTTTTCTTTCCATTAATTTGTCTAATCACTTTTTGAAGCTTTGTAAGTCTTCAGCAACCACAATGTTTTGTGGCAAGTTTTAGTTTGGTCATGCACTGTATGGAGAAAAAATATTTTTTTGTTCTGCTTCTTGATAATTTAATGTACAAGAACCTTTGCTCTTGCGTTACGAGAAACAGCAGATGACCGTTCCCTCTTTGCCTTCTCTATGCCAGTAAGGATTTAATCAATCTCCATCATATTCTCCCAGTTGCTTTTTCTGAACTAAGTGTCTTAGTCTAGTTATTTGTTCTTTCTACCACAGCCATTCCAAATTTTTAATCATCCTCATGGTCTTTCCCTGTGCCTTTGACACTTCTCCTTTTTGCAACAGGGAGATTAAAAATGAGGCAGACACCAGCTTGGATGTATACAACAGCATATTGATTTTTTTTTTATTTTTTATTTATTTCCTAAAAAAAATTGGGAATTATTTATTTGTTACAGAATTAGAGGGACTAATTTCATTCTGATATTTACTGTGTATTAAAAAAAGGGGCATCACAGCAAGGCTTAGCAGAAGGTACTAGCCTAACATGAAACAAGGAAGGGCAGGAAGGCATATTTCACTTTATTCCAAAAGGTAAGGACTGCAAGCTGGACTGTTCCTTTATGAGACTGAAACATGGTCAATAATCTACCTTGCAGATGAATTTTTTTTTAATCTGTAAGAGTAGGAAACTAAAAAGATTTTTGCCAGTAATGTGAACCAAACACCAACAAAGTCCAAATTTTCACCATCCATCAGACTTAGAACACCTCTGTAGCACTGACATATATTGTCTAGACAGAATACAGGAGTTTTTAATAAACACCATCTAAACTGTCTACATTTTTGGTATTAAAAAACCCAACATCACCACCTCCCCACTCCCCTAAATATAAAAACCACATCACTTCCATGGTCCATTGCATTTTACAAAAGCACTAAATCCTCTGAAAATTTTAGAATGGAGATCTGACAGTCAGACTGTTTGCACTTGCTTTCCTTTTACCTGCACGTACTATGGATGAATGAAGACGTTCATCCAAAGCCATATTTCCAATAATGCGAATTATGTTCCTCTGTATTTTTGCCGAGTCTTTACGTAGCTGGTATATCCTCTGTAGTAGCTGAAGGCCTCCTTTAGCTTCAATTTTATCACAGTGAGAAGAAACCTAGCATTATACAGTAAATACAATGACAATAAGTAGATGTTCTGTAAAAGGTTCTTTGAGATGCTGTTAATTCACAAATTCAGGAATTCTAAAGAGACAATATGATGCAGAGCCCTTATTACATTATTCTATTACATAGAAGTTCTTATTAATCTAGAATTTATTATACTGTAGTTGAAGAGGAAGTAAATATTTTAATATGCTAAGTGCATGACTTCTATGGATTTGAAAGATGCTGAGTACCATTGCTTTGCTCTCCTCCACATCTGAGGGAGATGAGGTTGCTTGCCACTTGGCATGATCAAATTTCAACTAAAGTTCAAGAGTCTGAACAGGACAATTGTCTGCATTTGTTAAAGCATTATCTCAACCAGAGCTACTTGTCTTCCTGTTCACCATCCAAAATACAATCATTATAATCCCTTCTCTTTGAAATACAAAGGTATTTCTATGTTCCAAATAGTACTACTATCATTATTGATCTTAAGGGCAACAATAGATTCTGGTCCAAGCAGAAGAATATGCACTAATTAGTTGCAGTGTCAATTACTGATACTAGCCAAATGCTTGTAACTTGAACATGTTGTCTACAGTGCTTAAAAATGTGTGGTAGTCATGGAACCACTAATGTCCTCAAGTCTGTGGCTTTCAACAAAGACAGACACACACTGGGAATGAGTACAGTCACAACTTGTTTAAGCTGAAAATCTGGAATGTTACAAATTCTAAACTAATCAGAATTTCTATGTATATGGAAGAGGTTAAAGTAATACTGGTAAACTGCACTTTATCCATCCCTACTACCAATAACAATTTGGTATTCTCAACACTTTTTCTCAGTGTTCTAGGTTTCTGAGCAATTAAGTGCATGCTGAAGAGTGCAGCAATAGGAGTCAAGAATAATCATTGTTACAAAAAAATCTTCCATACTTTTCATCTGTGTCTGCAAAGAACATACTGGTCCTGGAAAGATGCACTGCGTTAGCTGCATGCTGTGCAATATTCTGCCCAAAGGCAGTGACCCTTGAAGGACAGACCTTTGTGAATGGTCAAGGTTTGCATTTCATTCTGGCTTCTGATTAGAGTGAATTCATGGGGCTACTTTGCTTTCTGGAAACCTGGCACTAGAGTTAGATTAAGAGCCATAAGAAGTGACAGCTTGTAAGCTTTCTGAACTGATGTACACCAACTCAAGACAAATCCACACCCTCTTTGTACTGAGAAACACTGTTTCCTCATGGTAGCCCTACACAGAAAAGACTTGTTAAAGCCATCTGGACTTCAGGTGTTCTCTCCTGCTTTTTTTTGTCAGAGCTGCCCCATTCAATTCAATTCTTGAAAGACATATATACAGGTATATTACAGGGGAATCTATACCGGCTAATTAGAAACAATAACAGGACTTACATAAACTTCCCATGAGATAAAAATGAGTTTGTTATGCTGCCTTCCAATTCACACCAGTCTCGGTTATCTGAACAGCCTTACCGAAGGGGTGAGGGACAGGAGACAAGGAAATGGCAACTCCTTCCCCTTATATGAGAAAGCATTACAAAGGAACATTTATAAATGTAGCTTTTCAGTTACAGTTTAAGGGACAAATTACCTTAGAGTGCTGCACTAAGGCTTGCAAGCAAAAGAGTTCCACTGTCTCTGAAGGAATTTTACTCAATGTTTCACAATATGGAAGTCCATTTCCTCCGAAACACCATAAGCCTCCCTGAAATGAGAACCAGTAAAAATTATACCACATTCCAAATGGCTACATAAAATAAGCATTTCTAAACTGAAACATTAAGTATGTAATGATCTATAGAAATTGCTATAAAGACTGCATAGCATGCATTTTTCAAATTGTACAAATTACACAACAGTACACGATAAAAATATCTACTATTTTTAAATGAAAGTATTAAATAGATTTTCAGTCAGTAGCCTCCATAGTCCATAGCCTCCATTAACTTCAAAACATACAATAAAGGGCGAAAATGTAGGATTTTCATTTTGTTAATGAATGTCTTCTTTTATGATTGTTTGCTTAAGCAAAAAAGGCAAGAATCAGACTGCATCTAGACTTCCATAGTTGGAAAAATGAGAAGAGGAGGAAAGAAGATCTCCAACACAGCGTAGTCCCCAAAGACCAGTCTGTCTCAATTATGCAGTAGGAAGACCAGCATAACCTCAATAAAGAACAGTTTTCTAGAACAGTGTGGTTATCAAAATGCCCCCAAGTGTGGTGTCTTACCAAAGCTCCATTTGTATACCAGGAGCTCTGGCTGTGAAAACAATAAAGGAGTCACAGTGTAAAAGTATTACACATAATTGTGTCATAAGAAATAAGGAGTTATTGCACTCTGAAATCTCTAAAGAAAGCCTGCCAGGCATCATTACTAAAATATGACAGTAATTTTCATTATTGTATCTTACAAAAAATAATAATCACCAATTTTAAAAATCACAACTTTTTAAGAAAAAAAAATAAACTGCACAAGAGGTAGTGGATGACAATGACACTACAATTACTATTTTTAAGCAATAACAGCACTTTAAAAGGCATTCCTAAAGCCACTTAGGAAGTTGTTGGACAGACCGAACTGAAGAATTCCTAAGTTCCAGGTCCAAACAGATCACTACACTATGCCAATTCTGGTTTTGGCAACACTGATCTGTTACAAGGAGGCATTTCCATGTGATATAACAGAGTTTACTATTTAAGGTGTGCTAACAACTTACCAGTTTGCTAGTAAGACTTAACAGAGGTTTAATCACCTCAGCAGTAAAAGAACACTCAAACAATGGTGAAATGTGAAAAACATTTTATGACCACTGCAAAGGGAAGAAAATGTTCTGGACAAAATGTTGAAATATCTGCTTTATGGGAAGACTTGTAAGTAAAGATAAACAAGCTTTCAAGCACACAGACTGTATCATAGAATAGTTTAGGTTGGAAAGGACCTTTAAGATCATCAAGTCCAACCATTAGTCTAGCACTGCCAACTCCACCACTAAACCATGTCCCTAAGCACTACACCTACACAACTTTTAAATACCACCAGGGATGGCAACTCAACCACTTCCCTGGGCAGTCTGTTCCAATGCTTGATAACCTTTTTCTAATATCCAATCTAAACCTCCCCTGGCACAACTTGAGGCCATTTCCGCTTGTCCTATCACTTGTTACTTCGGAGGAGAGACCGACACCCACCTCACTACAACCTCCTTTCAGGTAGTTGTAAAGAGTGCTTGACAATCCTTTCAGTGAAGAAGTTTTTCCTAATATCCAATCTAAACCTCCCCTGGCGCAACTTGAGGCCATTTCCTCTTGTCCTATTCCTTGTTACTTGGGAGAAGAGACCGACACCCACAAGAGATTTTATGTATGCTGTACGGTCACAAAGTCTCTGTATTTCTTTTCCTCTTGTAATGCTCAAAAATATGGAAGTAGGTTTGTATCTGAGCTCTGCAGGAACAAAGAACCCAAATAGTTCTGTTATGCAGGTGGGAACTCACCCTTTGTGCAGCAAGAGTCTGACTACTTTCACGTAAAGCAAGAGATGTGAAGTACTGGACACATGGATCAAGACCAGTCTGAGGTAAAGATACTAACAACAAGCGAAGTTCATCTTCTATGGGATAATCCTGTGAGAAGTAACCACAAATAGCTCTTAGTTCCATTCAAAGAACGAAGTAAAACACAGAGAAAAGAAAGATCTGAAATAATGAAATCAGCCATATTAATAAGGCCATAAAATAGGAACCCTGAACTTGAGTGCTTTGCAATCACCCACCAATCATACTGCTGTAAAAATAAAGTATATACACAACCATATACTAATATACTTTAGTACTTCAGGACTGACAAGTACAGATCCACCATCATGTAATGTTACAAGAATAAGAAACCAAAAAGTGAAAGTATCAAAGCTGGTTTTCAGCATTTTGTTGATTAGGTATTCTCTGACAGGGACTTTTGCCAGCATTCACTCTATTAGCATTACAAAAGACCTCTTATATTATGCTTTGTGTGCCAATTCTATTTATTGAAGAAGCTGATATGATGACATGATTGCTCAAACCATCATACACACACACACACTTACTAATTAACATAAAAACAAAACAAGGTCAAATCTATCCCATATAGATTTGTTGGTACCCAAAAGCTGGCAACAAAGAGGTGGGCCTACAGCAGCCCTAGGTATAAAGAAAACAAGGCTGGTAGATGTTACTGTAAGTAAAGAGGATCGAGAAGAGCCACACCTCACCTCAGCCTCTGGAGGCATTCTGGAGTTTAAGACAAATTACTTAAAGCTGTTCCAGATGTTATATATTTGCCTATCCAATTAATTCTCAGTTACTGTATCGAGGTGCAACGCATTTCAGCAGCTAAAATCATACTTAATCAATTTTATGTTGGAATACTATTCAGTTAAATCTAACAAGTACTGTGATAACTGAAGCTAAACAAAACTTAGTTAATAGTAACAATAGCAAAGCTCTTCTCCAAACGCTTTCTGTAACTTCTAAATTCACACTAAGTAGATTAAGACATCGAAAGAAGACAACAGCAGACTTTTTGGTGAAAGACAGTGGCTATATCTACATTAGTGATTCAATGTGTTGGAGGAATTTTTCCAGGCAGCAAATCTGCACTTGGGAGTCACATGGTGGACTCAAAATGTTTTCCCTACTTATATAATCAAGATTAAAGCTGTGTGCCAGCACACTATCTAGAGCACCATGCTAGCTGCGAGGATGCAAAGGCCTCCAAGAGTGCTCTCTGTGCAAAGGATTCTGTCAGTATCAACAGAGCATTCTAGGATGACTTATTATAAGACTGCTTTGCATTGCCTATTAGGTAAGACAGGCAGTGCGTGCATCAGACTGGTACCTGGCTCAAACTTCACTGCTGGTAAATGTGTAATGTGGACATACAGTCTGAGAACACTAATTGATCAACCCCCCATCCTTACTTCTTTTCATCATGCCATTCACTAATGCAGAAATACTCCAGAGGTATATCATTATATTATAGTTTTGTATTTTGATCTTAATTTTACTATTCATTAATTACTTTAGAACTCCACTTCTGTATGGTTACCAACAACAACAGCACTAAAAACAAGCAAGCAAGCAAAAATAATCTAATACCTACTTTTCATTTACTTACATTCTTTATTTTTGGCAATGGTGGTGGAGGCAGGAAAAAGCGAAGGTCGATATCTTTGGATCGAGCTAAACCTATAGCAGTCCTTTGATCACAGGTTTGGGCAACTGTACCATACTGATAATCTGTAGTACAAGAACTTCAGTGTTAGGGTTAAAACTAACCTTAAATATTTCATTTGGTTTTAAATGTAGTTTCTGATCTACTGTTAATATATTTGAAAACAGAACCATCTCTCTGCAATCTACTTAAATAAGCTCTGATTTTGTAATCACAAATTCCAAGAGACAAATACTGCTGTTGTTAGACCAGCACTATACTGCACTGAAGACACCTGGGCACTAATTGTTCATCAGAGACCAGTTTGATAAAGGTCCTCAGATGTAAGTTGAACACAAGCAAAAGCAAACTTTCAGTATTTCCACTGTGCAAGGAGTACAAGGACTACAAACCTGAGCTTAATCCCCTGGGCTTGAGTTAAAACTTGAAAGGCATAGGCATATGCTTTTGGGGTTTTTTTCTGCATACAGGATTAAAAACCATAGGCTTAAATCCAAATGCTGACAAGACACAGACACCTAATTTTACATGATACAAAAGCTATGTTTCAATAGAATTGCTGAAGTCACAAAATCAGGTGACCTCAGAAAAAACTGTACTGTGGTGCTATTCCTGCCTTAAGCAGTCCTTCCTTACTGATTCATAGAAGCATTTAGGTTGGAAAAGACCTTTAAGATCATCAAGTACAACTGTTAACCTAACACTGCCAAGTCCACCACTAAACTATGTCCCTAAGCACATCTACATGACTTTTAAATACCTTCAGGGGTGGTGACTCAACCACTTCCCTGGGCAGCCTCTTCCAATGCTTGGTAACACATTTCTAATATCTAATCTAAATCTCCCCTGGCACAACTTGAGGCTATTTCCTCTTGTCCTATCACTTGTTACTTGTGAGAAGAGACCAACACCCACCTTGCTACAACCTCCTTTCAGGTAGTTGTAGAGTGATAAGGTCTCCCTTCAGCCTCCTCTTCTCCAGGCTAAACAACCCCAGTTCCCTCACCTGCTCCTCATAAGATCTGTTTTTCAGACCCTTCACCAGCTTTGTTGCCCTTCTTTGGACACGCTCCAACACCTCAACATCTTTCTTGTAGTGAGGGGCCCAAAACTGAACACGGTATTCGAGATGCAGCCTCACCAGTGCCAAGTACAGGGGTACAATCACTTCCCTACTCCTGCTGGCCACATAGTTTCTGATACAAGTCAGCATGCTGCTGGCCTTCTTGACCACCTGGGCACACTGCTGTCTACCAGCAACCCCAGGTCCTTTTCTGCTGGGCAGCTTTCCAGCCACTCTTCCCCAAGCCTGTAACGTTGCATGGGGGGGTTGTGACCCAAGTACAGGACCCAGCACTTGGCCTTGTTGAACCTCATACAGTTGGCCTTGGCCCATTGATCCAGCCTGTCCAGATCCCTCTGTAGAACCCTCCTACCGTCAAGCAGATCAACATTCCCTCCCAACTTGGTGT